TCCATGACGTGTCACTGGTCCATGACGTGTCCAGGCGTGTCACTGGTCCATGGCGTGTCCAGGCGTGTCATTGGTCCATGGCGTGTCACATGGTCCATGGCGTGTCCGGCGCGTGTCATTGGTCCGTGGCGTGTCAGGCGTGTCACTGGTCCATGGCGTGTCCAGGCTGCTCACACCCCAGACACGTCATGGACCAGTGACACGCCTGGACACGCCATGGACCAGTGACACGCCGTGGACACGTCACGGAGCAGTGTGACACACCTGGACACGCCATAGACACGTCATGGACCAGTGACACCGCGTCTGGACACGCCATGGACCAGTGACACGCTGGGACACGCCATGGACCAGTGACACGCCTGGACACGCCATGGACCAGTGACATGCCCAGACACGTCATGGACCAGTGATACGCCCGGACACGCCATGGACCAGTGACACGCCTTGGACACGTCATGGACCAGTGACACGCCTGGAACACGCCATGGACACGTCATGGACCAGTGACACGCCTGGACACGCCATGGACCAGTGACACGCCTGGACACGCCATGGACCAGTGACACGCCTGGACACGCCATGAACCAGTGACACGCCCGGACACGTCAAGGCGTGTCACTGGTCCGTGACGTGTCCAGGCGTGTCACTGGTCCATGGCGTGTCACTGGTCCATGGCCTGTCACTGGTCCATGGCGTGTCACTGGTCCATGGCGTGTGTCCAGGCGTGTCACTGGTCCATGACGTGTCCATGGCGTGTCACTGGTCCATGATGTGTCCATGGCGTGTCACTGGTCCATGACGTGTCCAGGTGTGTCACTAGTCCTTGGCGTGTCACTGGTCCATGGCGTGTCCAGGTCACACGTCATGGACCAGTGACACGCCTGGGACACGCCATGGACCTGTGACACACTGTGGACACGTCATGGACCAGTGACACGCCCTGGACACGCCATGGACACGTCATGGACCAGTGACAGGCCGTGGACACGTCACGGAGCAGTGACACGCTGGACACGCCATGGACACGTCATGGACCAGTGACACGCCCGGACACGCCATGGAACCAGTGACACGCCGTGGACACGTCATGGACCAGTGACACGCCTGGACACGCCATGGACCAGTGACACGCCTAGACACGCCATGGACCAGTGACACGGCATGGACCAGTGACACGCCCGGACACGCCATGGACCAGTGAACACGCCCGTACACGCCATGGACCAGTGACACACCCGGACACGCCAATGGACCATGACATGGCGTGCCGTGTCACTGGTCCATGGCGTGTCCAGGCGTGGCGTGTCCAGGCGTGTGGCGTGTCCAGGCGTGGCGTGTCAGGCGTGGCGTGTCCAGGCGTGTCACTGGTCTATGACGTGTCCAGGCGTGTCACTGGTCCATGGCGTGTCCAGGCGTGTCAATGGTCCATGGCGTGTCCAGGCGTGTCACTGGTCCATGGCGTTTCACTGGTCCATGGCGTGTCCAGGCGTGTCACTGGTCCATGACGTGTCCATGGCGTGTCACTGGTCATGACGTGTCCATGGCGTGTCACTCGTCCATGATGTGTCCATGGCGTTTCACTGGTCCATGGGCGTGTCCAGGCGTGTCACTGGTCCATGGCGTTTCACTGGTCCATGGCGTGTCCAGGCGTGTCACTGGTCCATGACGTGTCCATGGCGTGTCACTGGTCCATGATGTGTCCATGGCGTGTCACTGGTCCCTGACGTGTCAGGCGTGTCACTGGTCCATGGCGTGTCCAGGCGTGTCACTGGTCCATGGCGTGGTCCAGGCGACTCACTGGTCCATGACGTGTCCGGGCTGCTCACACCTGGACACGCCGTGGACACGTTCATGGACCAGTGACATGCCTGGACACGCCATGGATCAGTGACACGCCATGGACCAGTGACACGCCCGGACATGCCATGGACCAGTGACACGTCTGTGGACACGGTCATGGACCTGTGACACACCGTGGACACGTCATGGACCTGTGACACACCGTGGACACGTCATGGACCAGTGACACGCCATGGACCAGTGACAAGCCATGGACCAGTGACACCGCCAGTGGACCCGTATGGACCTTGTGACACACCCCATGGCACACGTCATGGACCAGTGACACGCCATGGACACGTCCATGGACCAGTGACACGCCATGGCCAGTGACACGCCATGGACCAGTGACACGCCTGGACACGCCATTGACACGCCCATGGACCAGTGACACGCCGATGGCCCAGTAACACGCTGGACACGTGGACCTGGACACACCGTGGACACGTCATGGAACCCAGCTGGACCAGCCACGCCTGGACACGCCATGGACCAGTGACACGGCCGCCATGCCATGACCACGCCATGACCAGTGACACGTCCATGTCACATTGACACGCATGGACCTAGTGACACGCCATGGACCACGTCATGGACCCATGCGTGTCCAGGGTGTCACTAGTTCCGTGAGCGTTGTCCACGGCGCTGTCACTGGTCCATGTTCGTTGTCCTTGGCCGCTGCCGTGTCCAGGCGTGTCATGGTCCATGACTTGTCCACAGCTGTGTCACAGGTCCATGGCGTGTCCAGGGTGGTCCACTGGTCCATGACGTGTGACTCCTGGACACTCTGGACCTGTGACACGCCCATGGACTAGTGAAACACCTGGACACGTCATTGGACCAGTGACACGCCATGGACACATCCATGGACCAGTGACACGCCATGGACACGTATGGACCAGTGACACGCTGGACCGCCATGGACCAGTGACACGCCATGGACCAGTGACAGGCCATGGGCAGTGACACGCATGCCTGTGGACACGCTGGACACGTCTCACGGACCGTGACACGCCTCTGACGTGTCCCGGGCGTGTCACGGTTCATGGCGTTCGGTTTGTCTCCAGGCGTCAAATAATTCACAAAACTATTTTCAATACTGTTGTTTCCCGGCAGAGGCAGCAGTGCACTAAGTCAAATTCTTTGCAGACGTAGAAAATCATGTTTCTCAATGACATACGTGTGTCTTATTCCATACTTGCGCTGTATCTTGTAAACAGTTTAGTGTCAGTAAATGTCCTCTTTTAAATCTCTTTTGTTTATTGCCTCATTATATCGAGCCACAACTATATTCTCTTGTGTATAACAATATACTATAATTCCCACACAAAAACTCATATAATGAAGACTTAAGGGATATAATCACAGCTTGTTTTTATTGAATTGTGTTGGTTCTGAATGAGTCCAAACAGAACCAACTGATGAAAACTATTAAGTCCATCGCGCTCAACAAGTAGAGGCCCATGTGGACCTGCATAAGCGCTCACGCCTGTCCCGCCCAAGGATAGGAATTCAGAGTAATTCGAGAGTCATCGGGGCGGAAGAGACATCCCGGAGGAGGGAGTCTGCCTCTCAGTCCCTCCTCTCCTTCTCTTCCTCTCCTCCTTTCCCCTCACTCTCTCCTCTGCTCTGCCTCCCCCCCCGTTCCTCCCCTCCTCTCCCCTTCCCCTCCCCTCCCTCTCCCTCTCGGGTCTCTCTCTCTCCCTGCTGTCCTCCCCCTCACCCTCCCTCCTGATTCCTTGAAGTCCCCTTCTCCCCCCCCCCTCCGTCTCCTCTTCTGCTCCCCCCTGCTCCCTCTCTCCCCCTCGCCCCTCTTCTCTTCCCCCTACCCTGCTCTGCACTCTCTGCCCTGTCGCCCGCGCCCTCGGCCTCCCTCTTCCTTCCCTCCCTGCCCTATCCTGCTCACTCTTCCTGCTTCCCCACCCCTGCTCCCCCCTCCCCCCCTCTCTGATCCCCCCCTGTCTCTCCCTCCTGCCTGCTCCTCCCCCTCTCCCTCCACTTCCCTCGGGCCCCCCTCCCTCCCTCCCTGTCTCTGCCCTGGAGCCTCTCCTGCCCCCTCGCTCATCCTGCCTCTCTCCTTCCCCCTTCTTCCCCTCCATCCCCCTGCCTGCCCTCCTCCCCTCTCCGCCCCCCCCCTGCCCTGCTCCTTCCTCCTCTCTGGCTCCTCTCCCCTGAGCTCTCCCTCCTCTGCTCCCTGCCCCCCTCCTCCTCTTCCCTCTGCCTCCTCTCTCCCCCCTGCCTTCCTGCTTCCCCCCCTCCCCTCTCTCTGGCCCTCTCTCCCTCCCTTCCCCTCCCCTCCCCTCCCCCTGCTGCCTCCTCCTGTCCCTCCCCCCTGCTCACCCCTCTACCTCTTCTCCCTCCCCCTGCCTCGCCTCTCCCCCTCTCTCCCCGCTCTGACCTGGCTCCTCCCCCCCTGCCCTCCCTCTCCCCCCTCCTCTCTGCCCTGCCCGTGCCTTCCTCTGCCCCCCTCTCTCCTCTCTGCCTGCCCCTCCCTCTCTCCTCCCTCTCTCTCTCCTCCCCCTCTCTCCCCTCTCTCTCCGCCCTCGGCCTCTCTCCTCTGTCTCCTGACCTCCTCTGGCACTCCCCTCTCTCCCCCCTCACTGCCCTGTCCTCCTTCTGCTCTCTCTCCCGCCCTCTCCCCCCCTCGCTCCCTCTCTCCTCTCCCCTCCTCCTCCCCTCCCCTCCTCTGCTGCCTCTCCTCCCCTCCTGGCCTCTCCCTCCTCTGGGTCTGCCTCCTCCCCCCGTCGCTCTGCCCCTCTCACCTCTTCCTTCCTCCTCCTCCCTTCCCCCCTTCTCTGCCACCTCCTGCTTCCTCCCTCCCCTGCCCTCTCCCCTGTCCCCGCCCCCCCCTCCTGCTCCTGCCTGCATGCCCTGAGTATGTGATGTGGGCCGATAAAAAGAACAAGAAATATAAAATGGGCGTGTGTGTTTGTGGGGAACGGGAACTTGAGCGTGCGAGGAGGGAGTCGCCAAAAGTTTGCAAAGCGGGTGGCACGTATTGTCCTGGCTGAACACAGACTGGGATGCATGCTGACACGTGGTTGGGCTCTCATTTGATGTGTTTTTCTTTGACTTATAACTTTGCTAGTGAACAATAATGGGATAGAAAGCTATGCGTAAAAAGTTGATTCATGCGTAATGCGCGTGTGAAGCTGGACATGGGCCTGGAGAGACTGAAGTCCCGGGGTTTTTTGACGCTGCTGGTGCGTGTGGGGCTTGTGGTCTGCGCGGTGGGACTGTGCGTGCATGTTTACCTGGAGATGACTCTGAGGCATCATACTGTGGCCCCAGCGCACGGACACACCGCTCAGGCCAATGGGAGCGGAGCCAAAGAGGAGTCTGCTGCGGAGGCTCCTGAGGACAGCAGCCTGGAGGGAAAGATGTCCCAAGTCAGGATGCTCAAGAAGGAGAGCTTAAGAGATGTGCACACAGCTCTGCATCACAGAAAGGTGAGGTGTAGTAGATGAATGAATAATTGAAAAAGGTCCTGGGTTCGAATCCCGGTCGGAACAGGGTGTCTCTGAGCGGAATTTGTTTGTTCTCCCCGTGTCTGCTTTCCTCCGGGTGCTCCGGTTTCCCTACCACTAAAAACATGCACAATAGGTCTGGCATGCACCTCCTGTACTGGTGACCTCTCTCCCTTCTCTCTGTGGAGTGAGAGACAAATGCCCACAACAATTATAAAGCGTTTTGTAACTCTGATCTGTGAAAGGTGCTATACATATAGTTTAGTTACTTACTTACTTTGTAGATCTCACATTCAAGCATTTCTTTACACTAACCATTTAAAATTTTGACACTAAAACAAAAGCCCAGATTCCAGAGCTATATAGAGTTAGATACTTTATTGATTGCAGTAGAAGAAATTCATGTGTCTAGCAGCAGAAACGCATCCATCCATATTTAGAAACATAGTACATCAAGTTTCCAACTAACTTTGTAACTAACAACAATAGTGCACAATGATCACAATGTTGATTGTGATCATTGTTGATCATAATTTGTTGACTAATGAGTTTAAGGTGTTCCCACTGGGAGGAGACTCTGGTGAAGGCCAAAGATGCGTTGGAGGGACTTATGTCTCTCAGTTGGCCTGAGAACGCCTCAGGATTCCCCACGAATGAGCTGCAAGGAGTGTGTGTGGATAGAGAAGTCTGGGTGTCTCTGCTTAGAAGGCTGCCCCTATGACCTGGCAATGGATAAAGCGGAAGAAAATAGATGATAGGAGGGCCTTGAGTTAGCCGATATGTCTGGTTGAATTTTTCAACAACAGCTACAAAAGAAGAGATGTTACAGTTTTTTTCCAGTTTAAATGATTCATAAACAGAAATAATAATGAAACAGTGAAACAATTGAAACCCCCATTCATTGAAACTGACTCTCCTCCCTCGACCTTCGGATTAGGCATCATTCAGGTAATAAACCTACATTTATGAAAGAAGACCCGTCTCAAAAAGCTTACTCTATAAACTAAACAATTCTCATGAAAGGTATAGAATATCACAGTTAACCCGAACGTCCCAGATGTTCTATTTCTGTTGTGAAATACAGTATAAAGCAAACAAAACACCAACTTCATGGCTATAGCAGCTAGCTGCAAATGTGCAACAAAGGCCTATTGAAAAAGTCTATGGGAGCAAGCACAGCTATTCTTAAGGCCAACGAGCACACACAATCCTGGAGAGTGGACATTTGGCCTCTGAAGGGTGTGCATAAGGAGCAGCTTAACTAAAGCTCCCTCTGACTCACGCTGGTGCCCTGCTCTGGTTTGGACACATGATACCACCTCCATCCTTACCGTTGTTCACTTAACAGCCCGCTGCTTCTGATGTTGTAGCAGCAGTTTGAGGGACACAGGGTTTTTTTTCCCAGTAGCAAGATCCAGACAGTGCATTATTGACATATTGTGGAGAGGTTAATGCAGAAGTGGTGGTGGTCGCTGGGAGAATATCAGGTTCATGTCATGGTGTGGATTTAATTTTGGACTTTAGCTTTATTTTGATATCTGTTCTCTGTGCTTTGTTTTAGTTTGACTTTGACGTCCTGTTTCCCCTGTCTTGATTGTCTGCCCCGCCCTAATGTGTTTCACCTGTGTCTCTGTCTATAATTACCCTGTGCTCCTCTCCTCTTGTTGCTGGTCCATTGTATTGTCTACTTCTGTTTCGTCCTGTTCCTGATTTTGTGCTCCTGGTTCCGTATTTTGGATTTTGAGTTTTGTTTTTACCTTGGACTTTATTAAATCTTTATTTTGGCATTCTCGCATTTTGAGTCCTCCTCCTTCCCACCTCGTGACAGTTCAGGGTCAGGTTTACTTTGTGTGTACTTGTAGGTAGACAATACATCTTATTTATTACAATACATTCACCCCGAAAAAAAAAAAATTACAAGTTTAGAGAGTGCTTAAAGTACGGAAGCTTGTTAGGTTCACTTGTGAGTGTGTTTTTTTCCCGCTGGTATCATGTTATTTCATGATACTTTCATGAAATAACATGATAAATATCATGTTATTTCATGATACACAACTATCTTGTTATTTCATGATACACAACTATCATGTTATTTCATGATACACAACTATTATGTTATTTCATGATACCAATTTATCAGAAGCTGACAGCTTATTCTTCTCCTGTATCTACAGTATCATGTTATTTCATGATAAATTGGTATCATGAAATAACATGATAGTTGCGTATCATGAAATAACATGATAGTTGCGTATCATGAAATAACATGATAGTTGCGTATCATGAAACAACATGATAGTTGCGTATCATGAAATAACATGATAGTTGCGTATCATGAAATAACATGATAGTTGCGTATCATGAAATAACATGATAGTTGCGTATCATGAAATAACATGATAGTTGCGTATCATGAAATAACATGATAGTTGCGTATCATGAAACAACATGATAGTTGCGTATCATGAAATAACATGATAGTTGCGTATCATGAAATAACATGATACCAGCGGGGGAAAAAACACACTCACAAGTGAACCTAACAAGCTTCCGTATTAAAGTGCTCCCAATGTGAATTATGTAAAACTATTGCTTTCATGGCATTTGTTTGTTCATATTTCCTGGTGAATCTATGAGAGCTTTTGGATTGTAGTGTTGTAAGTTTTTCACTCTTTGGAAGTCCATACATTTCTTACTGCCCATAGGGTAATAAACTTATCACACACTCATCGAATCTCTTTTTTTTCAAGAACAGTTGCAGATGGTTTATCATTTTTCGTTTAATAAATGATACCTGTTCTTTGCCCCCTACGAAAATAAACCTGTTGTGAACAAATCAGACCATAACATGTTGTCTTCAAGTGAGTCGCTTATTTGAGCTGAGAGCTGATTGGGTTGCTGATCCTCTCTTTTTCACTTTTTTGTCAGAAAAAGCAGATTTATAGATGTGAATGGAGCTAAATATGTGTGATAGAACCAAACTGCTTTGAGAGTGAATCAAAAAGAATGTTTTCTGTGTGTGATTGTGCCTCGGCCTCATGGTCTCTGTTCGATTCAATGTATTTTTGAATAGCCCTAAATCACAACAGTAGTCGTCTCGGAAAACTTTACAAAACAGTCGCCAACACAGATTAGAAAAACCGTCCAAACCATAGACTGTGAATATTAACGGACGTACGGCTATAGTGGCTCAGTTGGTAGAGCATTGGCCTTTGAGCCTGGAGGTCGTGGGTCCGAGCCCACCACAAGACCATCTCCACTGATGTCTGCTGTCGTTGTGTCCTTGGCCAAGAAACTTAACCCACTTTGCCTATAAGCAGCACGGATGTAATGTTTGCTGCATGCCTTGATGTGTGTATGTGTATTCATCAAATTGAAATTTCCCCTCTGTAGGACGAATAAAGGACCTTCTTCTTCTATCTCCACAGTTGAAACTTGTGTGCCACCACTTTTGGCTTCTGTGGGCAGTTTCAAAATGGCCACGGGGCTTGGAAAATGTGAAAAAATGCATTTACGCATGCGTTAGCCGGCACGAGCCCCATTCCTTTGACTAGTGCCTTCAAAAGTCCACAGCGACTAAACTAGACTGGTCCAAAAAATATATACTCCCCTCAGCATTGACACACATCTGGAACGTAGCGTTGGGCCAAGAGCTGACTTTTGGACCATCCTGTAACACTGTTTTCAAGAGGTAAGAAGACGCAATACTAAAGCATTGGATAATTCTCTTTCTGGGTCCACCCCCACAGGCTAGGAGTGGTATTGCAAGCATGTTAGCGGTTAGCGCACTTGCACATGGACCTTTTTGAACACCCGCACCCGCCCCCACTGGTTCAAACACAAGAAATGCAATGATAAAACACACATACAGCCATTGGTCCATAAGGGACGGATAACCAATGTCCATAAATGTTGACAAAGTTCACAAATATTGTTGAATGTTGCGCGTCCTGGATCACCACCACTGTCCTTGGCCCCTCCTGTATCGTATTGCAACAGTATCGATAATGACTCATACAGAACACCTTCTATTTGGCCATTTTTGTTTCATCGCGGTTAATTTTTAATGCATTTTTAACAACGTGGATTTGTAAATGCTCTGAAAATCACTGCAGGGGGATTGCACCACACTGAGAGATTGGCCAATTTGCTTTCCATTAATATTACATTCCACCATATGCTCCTCTCTTTCTGGCCTCCTTTGTAACTCTAAATTTGTCACATAAGTCGCTGTGGGGGGCGGGGGGGGCGGCCCTGACAGAAGCTGTGTCATATGTTGGTGCCATTTAGTGCTTGTTGCAGTGTGTCTTTGCCCGCCGCTTGTTTCCCTAAGGCTCTCATCACGGAGATCGCTGCAGCTCTTTCATGTTTTGCCTCGGCTCCGACTGTTTTACTTACAGTGCGTTTTTTAAATTTTAAACATCTACTCTGGTCCTTTTTTGTCTCTGGAGAAGCTTCTCTGGCTGCACGGTACACATATTCAAGGGTATGAATTGTTCAGTAATTTAAATCGAACTTCTTTAGCTTTAGGTAGGACAGGGAATGTTATGTAGCTGCATCTGAAAAACTTAACATTGTGTTTAGGGAGATCCTTCATCATATATTGTCTTCTTAACGGCAAAGGGAAGTATTTATTGGATAATGCTGCTCTTAGAAATTTGTTATTACATTTTTTGTCCACAAAATTACAATTTAGAATGAGTAATGGATATATTTTTGGAGCCAATTGTGTATACATTAGAGATCCCTTAATTGCACAAACAAGAGCTTGTGGAATAGCCTTGATTACTTGTAAAAAATGTTGCCTAGTGGTAATCACATTGTATTACCACTTGGGTTAAGTCAATAAACTGAAGAAAATTACCTGTATCATCCATTAAGTGTAAAACTGACCATAAACCCTTTTCATGCCAGTGCTGAAAATAAAAAGATTTCCTTCTAATCAGAATATATCTATTATTCCATATAGGTGTATTATGTGGCAAAAAATTGTGACTATA